TAAGCAGACTAAACACCTTCTTAACCACCTTGTCCACATGTAATGCAAAAATCAAGCAATGATGCACCTGAACCCCTTGGTGTCTCTGTTCTACAACACTATCCAGGGCCCTACTTTTTATTGTGCAAGTCCTGCTCTTGTTTGTTTTACCAAAATGCAATAACTTGCCCTTATCTAAATTAAACACCACCTGCTATTCCTCAGCCCATTGACTCAATAGATCAAGATGTCTTTCTAATCTTGGACAGCTTCTTCACTGTCCACTATGCTGCCTATTTTGGTGTCATGTGCAAACTTACTAACCATGCCTTCTATATTCTCATCTCAATCATTACGTAAAAGGTCAAACAGAATTGGACCCAGCACGAATCCCTGTGGAACACTGCTGGTAACAGGCCTCCAGTCTGAAAAGCAATCCGCCACCACCAGTCCCTGTCTCCTGTCAGTAAGGCAATTTTGTGTCCAATTGACAAACCTGAATCACCCTGAATCCCATATGATCTAACTTTACTGATGCGTCCACCATGTAGAACCTTGTCAAAGGCTTTACTAAAGTCAAAGTAAACAATGTCTACTGCTCTGCCTTCAACAATCTTCTTTGTTATTTCCTCAAAAAACTCAATCAAGTTTGAAATACAATTTCCCCCGCATAAAAACATGCTGACTATCCCAATTGTTCCTTGCCTCTCTAAGTGGGTAAATCATATCTTTCACAATTACCTCCAACTACTTACCCACCACCGAAGTCAGACTCGCAGGTCTGTAGTTCCCAGGTTTCTCCTTACATCCCTTAAGCAAAGGCACAACATTAGCCATTCTCCAGTCATCTGGCACGTCACCTGTAGTTATAGATGATACAGTATTTCTGCAAGGTGCCCCACGTTTTCTCTTTAACTTATCACAATATGATGGAATGCACTAGAGCAGGACCTGGAGATTTAGAGTCATAGAATAATACAGCATGGAAACAGGCCCTTCAGCTCGAACTGATCCGTGCTGACCATGGTTCCCACTCAGCTAGTTCGAATTACCCAAACAAGAGGGATATTTGGTCTATATCCCTCTCAAACCCTTGCTTTCCGTGTACCTATCCAAATGTTTTTTAAATGTTGTGATTGTAACTGCCTCAGCCACTTGTTCTGGCAGCCCATTCCATACGTCCACCACTCTCCAAGAAGTTGCCCCTCAGGTCCTCGTTAAATCTTTCCCCTCTCACCTTAAACCTATGACTTTGAGTTTTAACTCCTCAACCCTGGGAAAAAGACGATATGCATTCATCCTAACTGTGCCCCTCATGATTTTATATACCTCAATAAGGTCACCCCCTCATTCACCTACATTCCAAGGAATAAAGTCCTATCCAGGCCAACATATCTCTCTAACTCAGGCCTACTAGCCCTGGCAACAGCCTCGTAAATCTTCTTTGCACACGTTCCAGTTCAACTATGTCTTTCCTATAACAGGGTGACCAAAACTGTACACAATACTCCAAGTGCAGCCTCACCCACGACTTATACAACTGTAAGACAACGTCCCAACTGATGTGCTCAATGCCTTGACCAATGAAGGCCAGCATGCTAAATGCCTTCTTCACCACCTTGTCAACCTGTGACGCCGCTTTCAATGAACAATGTACTCGTACTCCTGGGTCCCTCTCTTCCACAACACTCCTCAGGACCTTACCATGAACTGCATAAGTCCTATCTTGATTTGATGTTCCAGAGTGCAACACCTCATACCTATCTGTATTGAATTGCATTTGCCAATCCTCAAACCACTTCCCCATCTGATCTAGATCCCTCTGTAATTTTTGATAACTTTCCTTGCTGTCAGCGATACCTCCTAGTCTTGTATCATCTGCAAACTTACTAATCATGCGTTGTACATTCACATCCAGATCACTTATGTACGTAACAAAGGTCCCAGTCCCAGTCCCAACCCCAACCCCAGTGGCACATTGCTCATCACAGGCCTCCAATCCATGAAACAACCTTCAACCATCACCCTCTGCTTCCTACCATCGAGCCAATTTTGGTATCCAAATTAGCGAGCTTTCCCTGGATCCCATGCGACCTAACCTTCTTGACTAGCCTGCCATGTACGACCTTGTTAAACGCCTTACTAGAATCTGTATCGACAGCATCCACTGCCCTACCTCATTTATCCTCTTGGTTACCTCTTTGAAAAACTCTGAAAGATTTGTCAGACGTGACCTCCCATGCACAATTCCATACTGACTGTCCCTAATCCGATCTTGACTATCCAAATGTAGGTTGATCCTGTCCAATAACTTGCCGACCACTGATGTCAGGTTCACTGGCCTGTAGTTCCCTGGCTTGTCTTTGCTACCTTTTTTAAACAATGGAACAACATTGCCCTCCTCCAATCTTACTGAACTTCACCAGTGGCTGAAAATGAAGCAAAAATCTCTAAGACCCCCTGCAATTTCTTCCCTTGACTCCCACAATGTCTGAGGATTGACTTGATTGGGCCCCGGGTATTTGTACACCTTAAAGCGCCATAAGGCCCAAACACCACCCCTCTGGTAATATGTACGCATTCCAAAACATTCCCATATTTCCCTTAATTCCTTAGCAGCCACGATTCTCTCCTCGTAATGACTGAGGGGAAATATTCATAAAAATCTCCCTCATCACCTGTGGCTCTACAGGATATCCATCTTTATATTTTTGAAGACGTCCATGTGAACTGCTTTCAAAAAACAGTATTTCTTTCCCTGAGTTTTCTAGCCTCCTTTTTTTTTTCTCCACAATAAAAACTGATGCGAAATATTCCTTTAATATCTTTCTCATCTCCTGACATTCAACACAAAGGTAACCTCTTTGATCTTTACGGGGCCCTGCTCATTCTCTAGTTGCTCTCTTGCTCTTCGTGCACTTGTAGAATCTCTTTGGATTAACGTTAACGTTGTCTATCAAGGCCATTTCATATCCCCTCTTTGCCTTCCTGGTCTCCCGTTTAAGAATGCCCCTAAACTGTTTATACTGGTCAAGAGATTCATTTAAACCCAGTTGTTTATATCTAATGTATGATTTTTTTTTTTTTAAATTTTTGACTAAAACCTGAATATCTTGTTCATCCATTGTTCTTTAATCCTACCAGCCTTACCTTTCAATCTAACAGGAACATCATGATTCTGAACTCTCGTTAATCACATGTTTTTGAAAGCCTCCCACTTATCAGATGTCCCTTTGCCTGCAGTCTACTCCAATCAACTTCTGAACGTTCTTGTCTCATACCTTTAAATTTGCCTTACTCCAATTAAAAACTT